AGATTTGCGATACTAAGTGTCCCAAATGAAGATGAGATCACCCAAACACCCAAGGCCAAAAAATTAAGAGCGCCACCTATTTATGTTCGACAGGCAAATTGTGCTGAACTGGTCAAAAAAATAACTGATACAATTGGCGCAAACACATTCTATGTCACGTACATAAAAAGAGGTAATATAAATGAAACAAAAATACAAGTCAATGACGAACAAAACTATCGATCAGTTGCGAAATACCTCGAAAATGAAAAAATGAATTACTACACCTACCAACTTAAAAGTAGCAAAGGATTACAAGTGGTTATCAAAGGAATCGAACCAACAGTCCCAATCAATGAGATAATAGATGGACTTAACGATAAGAGCTTCGAAGTCAAAATGGCAATGAACATAATAAATAGAAACAAAATTCCCCAGCCAATGTTCAAAGTAGAACTGACACCTGAAAGTATGCATATAAGTAAAAATGAAGTTCACCCAATATACAAGCTTCAATACCTACTGCACCGTAGGATCACCGTTGAGGAACCACACAAACGAAATGGACCGGTCCAATGCACAAATTGCCAGGAATATGGACACACGAAAACCTATTGCACTCTACGGGCAGTCTGCGTTGCCTGTGGTGATGTTCATCTCACTGAGGCCTGCCCCGTAAATAAGGAGGACCCATCTGCCAAAAAATGTAGCAACTGTGGGGGAAACCATACTGCCAACTATAGAGGTTGTCCTGTCTATAAAGAATTGAAAAATCGCCTAAACCAACAAATAACTGCAGCTCGTAACCCGGTCGTCCGACAAAACTTAACATATATACCATCAACTACGACTCCAGGAGTTTCTTTTGCTCAGGCGTTAAGTTACAACAACGTGTCCTACGCCTCAGTCTCTAAGCCGACACTTCAACCAACCACAGCTGGAATAATGCAGCATCAGGCATCAAATCAGATCCCAGAAATCTCTGCCCAACATACCCCTGCTAATCCATCCCAATTGCCTAGTGGAATTGAGTCAATGCTGGTAACTATAACAAATACAATGGTAGCAATACAACAAACGATGCAGGAGCTTATGCGCAACCAAAATCTCCTCCTGGAGCTCCTAATCAAACAGAAATCTGTTTAAATGTCCTGTCTAAATATATGTTTCTGGAATGCAAATGGCATTTCTCAGCACAAATGCGAGCTCTTACAGTTCCTCGCTCAACACGACATTGACGCCATGCTCATATCAGAGACTCACCTAACAAATAAAAACTATTTTCACCTCAATGGCTATAACTTCTATGCGACAAATCATCCCGATGGTAAGGCACATGGAGGTACTGGCGTTCTGATCAAGAATCGCATTAGGCATTATCCATTGCCTTCGTTTGCTACACCTTATCTACTGGCAACAGCAATTCATATTGAAATTCAGAGCGGCTACCTAAACCTAGCCGCAGTATACTGCCCACCACGTTTCTGCATTTCCGAAACAGAATTTGTAGCATTCTTCGACCTACTAGGTAACCGATTTATAGCAGCTGGTGACTACAATGCCAAGCACACCCATTGGGGATCTAGACTTACCAACCCGAAAGGAAGACAACTATATAACGCTATAATAACCCCCCGAAACAAGCTAGACTTTATCTCTCCGGGCAAGCCCACATATTGGCCCACAGATCCAAACAAGCAACCCGACTTGATTGATTTTGCAGTTACACGAAGGGTGCTGCAAGCTCAGATTAATGTAGATCACTTAACAGATCTATCATCGGATCACTCGCCCATTCTACTTCACCTTTACGACCATCCACAGCATTCGGAACGCCCACACTTTCTAACTTCTAGCAAAACAGATTGGCTCAAATACAGGAAGTACATAAGCTCTCATATTGATAGCTGCCCAAACATTAATTGTAAAGATGACATTGATAGGTCAGTCGAAGCATTGGTTTCCTCAATGTCACTGGCGGCAAAACACTCAACACCAATATTAGCATCTAATAAACATTCCAACAGCAGTCGTATTTCTAGGCACATTGAAGTGCTGCTACGCGATAAAAGAAGGCTTCGCCGAGAGTGGCAAGCACACAGATCACCTGCATCGAAAGAGCGGCTAAAAATAGCCAACCACCTACTACGCAGAGCCCTAGAAGATGAAAAAAACCGAGCTCAAATATCCTATATGGAGCAACTCTCCCCAACTAGCAAACGATTCCCACTGTGGAAAGCAAAATCAGGCGTATGCCCACCAATCGAGAGTGAATCACCTTTGCGTACACAAACAGGAGAGTGGGCTCGCAGCAACAAAGAGAAGGCAAATACATTTGCCGTCCATCTAGAAAACGTCTTCAAACCGCACCCAGCAACGAATAGCTTAGTGCTGCCACCAACCAACAATCCCGAAACTACTCCGCCTATCATATTCCAATCAGGAGAAATCACAAGGGTCATTAAAGACCAAATCTCAAAGCAAAAGAAAGCTCCGGGCCACGATTTCATCTCTCCTAAAATGATCATAGAATTGCCGAGCTGTGCAGTGTATTTTCTTACTATGATATTCAACACATGAGAATGGGGCTATTATCCTCAAGAATGGAGGAAATCAGTCATCACAATGATCCATAAAGCCGGAAAAGACAAGTCCAAGCCATCATCATATAGACCTATCAGCCTACTGCCTTGCCTATCAAAGATATTTGAAAAGCTGCTCCTGAATCGTATCAAACAACACCTACACATCAACGGTGCCATCCCGACTCACCAATTTGGATTTCGCGAAAAACACGGAACCATTGAACAAGTAAACCGTATAACCTCTGAGATACGAAATGCATTTAAACGGGAGTATTGCTCCGCGTTTTCTGGAATTCGCACAGCTTCGACCGGTTTGGTTAGATGGCTTAACCACAAATCAAAATATTACTTCCACAGAACACCATGGAATAATGGAGTCATACCTACACAAAGAAGTTTCGCAGTACGATGCAAAGATTTCCTCTCTGAATATCATCCAATTGAAGCTGGTGTACCGCAAGGCAGCGTGCTTGGACCGACACTGTATATCATATTCACAGCAGATCTACCGACAAACAGCCTAACAACAACTTCGACATTTGCTGATGATACTGCCATATTAAGTCGCTCCAAGTGCCCAAGAAGGGCCACGGATCACTTATCATCTCATCTCGTGGCCTTAGAAAAATGGCTAGCAGACTGGCGGATACATGTAAACGAGCAAAAGTGCAAGCATGTCACCTTCACCTTAAACCAGGGCTCGGCACCCATACAGTGAAGTGCGCTTGTGTGCGTAGCTAAAACACGAAGATGCCTACGCCGAAACCGGTTTCTTGCTTTACACTGCACGAATCTATTTGTGGTTGATGCTGCAATTATTTCGTGTTGAAACTTTCAAGGAAAACAAAAGTTTAAAGCAAAATAATACAAAAAATTGAGTAAAATTATAAAAAAGAAACGTAAATAAAATAATAATAAAATAATAACAAAACCATAACAAAATAATAATACAAAAATAATATTTGCAATTCGCTAGTCTTTTGTTCGCTTCAGCTTTAATAAATAGGCTTATCTCTTCCGTCATACGTGTGATGTTTCGTGGAGATAATGAAAGGTTCCGGCAAAGTTTTAAAGTGCATTGCTTTTAGTTCCAAAAGAGCTTAGAACATCACACATAAGGTTTTTAAAAAATATCCCATCGGTGAAGGGGCGGATTGCTTAGCTAAAGCTAGTGCAATTGTAAAAGAGGCTTTTTTTAAGCTAGGCTGTCATTATCTTCCGCTACAAATAATAGAAAATATTTGGCCTGCAATTCCAAAACTTTTTGGACATGATCAATCCCCTTATTAGTTATAATCAATATGGTTTAAATTGTAATGTCTTTCAATGACATATAAATTACAGCGGTACGCAACACAATCGCAAATTGTGCATTGGATCGCCATCCATATTTGGACAGAAATTTGTTTTCCCAATTCCCATCGAACATTTTTTGTCTCAGTGTATATTTCAGTAGTTGCGTAGCGTGGTCTCACATTGATGACGGCTGATCAGCAACTGATGCCATTTTCGTTCTGTATCTGGTGTGAAAACGAGACAACAAGTGCCGAAGTCGCATTGCCGAAGCCATACGAAGCGCCGCTGCTTTTTTATACTGTCGGTGTACCGGCAGCGCAGCAGCAGCGCCTTGTCCCGCACCCATGGGATAGGGCCGTGCCGAGCCCTGCCTTAAACAGACAAACTTGCCCTCCATTATGTCTGAACAATATCAACATTCCACAAACCACCGAAGTAACATACCTTGGTGTTCATCTGGATAGAAGGCTTACTTGGCATAAGCACATCGAAGCGAAGAGAAATCTACTTAAATTTAAAGCTAGTAATCTACATTGGCTAATAAACACCCGTTCACCACTAAAACTGGAGTACAAAGTACTTTTGTACAATGCAGTTCTCAAACCTATCTGGACATACGGCTCCGAGCTATGGGGAAATGCTTGCGTTAGTAATTTAGAAATAATCCAGAGAGCTCAATCGAAGATACTAAGAACTATTACTGGGGCACCATGGTACATACGGAATGAAAATATCCATAAAGACTTAAATGTAGGATCAGTTAAAGATGAAATTGCCAAAGTGAAAGCAAAGTACCAGGCCAAGCTTCAAGCCCATCCTAATAGACTTGCGCAGTCTTTAACTTGGCACACTAGCCATACACGACTCCGGCGAAGAGACCTTCCCACCCAGCAATAATACTTAGCTAGGGACGTACTCTAAGTAATTAAGTGTAAATAATTAAATAAATATATTAGGCTAAGATTTGTATACTTGTCGTAAGTCTCTAATAGGGAAGATTCGATAAATAAAATCCCGTAATAATAAAAAAAAAAAAAAAACCTTATATTTGTAAATAGCTTGTTTAAAACTATTCAATGTTTACATGAGTTCATAAAAGATAGTAAGTTTTTTACCTTGTTTTTTTATTTTTTTTTATAGGCTATCATTGATTCTCCAGACAAACAATTAACACTGAACGAAATTTATAACTGGTTTCAAAATACCTTTTGTTACTTTCGTCGTAACGCAGCTACTTGGAAGGTAATTATATATATGTACATATGTATATGACCATATGTTTAAATGTTCTGTGTCAAAGTAAATTAAAGAGGAATCTATTTTAATAAAAGTACATACATAATATTTATTACATACATATGTATGTATTTATTTGTATGTATTTTTGATGCGGACGTCTTTTGAATTGATTTGGATGTATTTTAAATATTTGAAATAATCTTGTAACTGTAAATACTCGAAAGCTACAGGTATATTTATACCTGGTACTCAAAGATACACATATGATCATAATAATAGGTACACTTTGAAAATATTAAGTTTGCGTATAGGTACTTTTTTGAGTCTTGCCGGAGACGCAGTTTTTTTTTACATAGGTTAAGCATAGGGACCCAGAGGTGGCAAAAAGTTGTCTCTGATTCATGTGCGTCTATTCGATATATTCGATTGCCTTTGCGCTTAACAGCACATTTTTGCAGAATAATCGAATTTTTTATAAATTTTGAAAATACGATAAAACCGGAAAGTCAGAATTTATCGAGTGTTTTACTTTGATAGCCTTTTTTCCACCACTAGGGCCCTATGCTCATAGCTATATGATATTAGACTTAGACAATTTTGCTGCATAGAGAGGGATAGCACTAGAAAAAAAATGCAACATTATTGTTCGTAGCCGTCTCTAGACACGTCTAATAGCTTTTAGTAGAACAACTGAGGCACTACTTGACAAACAATAATGTTTTCCAGCAGAACACAGACGCCAAGCCAGCAAAATTGTATCCGCAAAGTAAAATTTTCGATAAATTCTTTCCCAGCTCAAATGGACAGCCATATAGTTCTCTCGCTCTGACTGCAGGCATTTCCCATAAGCCCATCTTTACTTTTCCAGCTAGTCAGTTAGCAAAGTCTAATGTCATATGGCTATTAACCTATGGAAAAAAAAACTACGTCTCCGGCAAGACGCAAAGTAGCATGACGCAGCCCCAGTGTAAACAGCCTATGAGACTACAATTTTACTCTCATGCTAACACTCTCTAGGCAGCAAAATTAGCAAAGTCTAAAGCATAGTATCTAGAACCGCGGGATTCCTGTCAAACTCCATATAAAAAAAACTGTGGCAGGAATTTTTCGTTTACGTGTTCCTGGAGTGTGTATCCAGCAACGCGATCGGAATCCACAGATTTATATCGATAGTTGCCTATCGGGACCGTGTGGGGACTGAGAGAACAGCTGATACCCAGCTCAGGAATATATACTTTACAATTCTTCCTGAAATGAATGGTGCATGATGTAGGCAAAAACTGTCCGCAAAACCAAAATGAGAGATGAAAATTATTATTTTTTGTTTTGCAACAAAATATATCCCGCCACCTACACAATCACTTCATCATCAGAGTGCTTTTTTTTCCTTTTTTATTTTAGCAGAATTATTCTTTTTTTTTTGGAACAATATATGCCGCCACCACCACAATCACTTCATCATCAGAGTGCATTTTTTTCCTTTTTTAATATTATCAGAATTTTACAGTTGGCACTGTTTACAAAACACAGCTGTTAAACCCTGTTTAAGCTGTGTTCCACAGCCTCACGGAATAACAAGCAAATTCATGGCAGGAATTTTCCGTGGTGCTGGAGACAGGCTTAATGTCTAACACCTTTAAAAAGTCTATGGACAATAAATCTATGAATGTATGTAAATACCTAAGCTTAGGTAATAACACAGCATTACCTTTTCAGTTTAGTCGATAGCACTAGTCAACACGATTTTTCCTCAAGGAACAAAATGAACTTTTTCTTAAAGATTTGGGGCTTAGAAATGGTTTGATGATATTTTTTTTTCTATGGCAGAACTTTTTTTTAAAGAATTTTTGAAAACTGGTATTTTTTGTAAACCTTTTTTCAGAGGTAGCGCTTGTTTTTTTCACATAACTCTAGTATCCTACGTCTGGTTGTAAAGAACTTTGCTATTTTGAATAGATAATTAAAAAGCTAGAAGTTGAGCCCAAACACAATTCAGCTTACCGTCTGGGAAATATAAAGCATTGAAATGCAAAAATGATGATTTTTGAATTTTGACTTTAAAAACTAGGTATTTTTTACGAAATTTTTTCTGGAGCTAAAATTCGTTAACCAAACCTAAATTGGAAAAAATTAACAAAAAAGCCTTTTGCAGGTTGGGCTCGCCCAACCTTCCAACAAAGGAACGCTCGGTACCAAATGGTACAACCCTTTTTCGTTTGCTTTGTTCCCTTGGTTTTAATGAGCGATACCTTTAACGACGCCAAATTAATGAACCTATACACAAAAAAATAGAGGACACAAGATATTTTTTTTTCGACTTTTCCTGAGTTTTTAAAGTCAAAATTTCGTAAAAAATACCGCACAAAAATCATCATTTTTGCATTTCAATAAGACGGTAAGCTGAAATCACAAAGTGTTTAGGCTTAACTTCTAGCTGTTTTAATTATCTTTTCAAAATAGCAAAGTTCTTTACAAGCAGACGTAGAATCCTAGAGTTATGTGAAAAAAACAAGCGCTACCTCTGAAAAAAGCTTAAAAAAATAAATACGACTTAAAAAATTCTTAAAAAAAAGTTCTGCCATAGAAAAAAAACCATAATTCTTTAAAAAAATTTAAAGCCCCATATCTATCAGAAAAAGTCGGTTTGGATCCTTGAGGAAAAAAAAAGTTCGATTTTGTCGAGTAGTGTAATTGAATCGTTTTATTATATTTATTTTATTAAAAGCCTTTGGTACACCCTTACTTGAACAGTTAAGGAGTATATTAGATTTATTGTCGAAGTGGATGTATGTAATGCGCAGAAAGAATCGTTTCCTACCGCAAAAATTATACATGTCTATTCTTGATCAGCATCAAGAGCCGAGTCGATATAGACATGTCTGTCCGTACTTCTGTCCGTCCGTCTTGATGAGTGCCTGATTCTCAGGGACTTTAAAAGCTAAAGCAACCAAATTTTGTGATGTCACATTGTTCTAAATTTTCGCTTTGTATAAAAGTAGAGTCGCTGCAACAGCAGTCGCAGCAAACAAAAAAGACTGTTTTTTATAAATATTTAAAAAATCTTACGATTTGGGGATAATAGATTTAATATTGGACATTTCCACAGTACTGAAACCATTGTTAACCCTTGTCCAAAAAAAGTTTCAAGTTCCAATCTTGTTTGATTAATGTTAGAACTCTTTCTTTTACAAATTTTTAAAATAAAATTTTATAAAATTACATCTTTTAAAATTAGCAAATCTTATAGAAAATTTAATAATTTATTGGATAAACTGATAGCTTATAATATAATATACAGGGGTGCCACAGAAATCACTAGTGAAATGGAAAACCGCGCAGAGGATTTCCGTTTAAAAATTTCCGCCGTGCCACAGAATTTCGAGCGATTTCATTTTTCTTAGCATTGTCACAAACCAAATTCGAACTAAGGCTAGGGTTGACACCTTTCAAGATTCAATTCGAATAGGGTTCATATTGCAGTTTTATTGATTTTATCATATCAAAACAATTGGTTTTTATTTTTTCTTGTATGATATAAAATAATTGATTTTTCAAAGCTGTACTTTTATAATTTCAAAGCAAAAAACAGCCCATATCGTGCGAGGCACCCCTGATAAATATATTATCATGATTATGATTAAATACATCCTTAAAACACACCCAAAACAATTTGAATCTAACTTTCCCATAAAGGTTGTTCAATTGGTGATTAACCCTCATCCAAATAATTTAACATTATACAGGTTGAGTTAATAAAATAAGCATTTTAGTAAATCACTATCCAATCCGCTAACTGAATTTTCACCTAGCGATTCCGCTCTCAATCCGCTGCAGAGCGAGGTGGCCACCTAGGACGATTCGGAATTTCGAAGTTAATACAGTAATGCCACCTTTTTTAAGTCGAATTCGGAGCAATATATATTTATTTCTGTTGTTCTTTAATTAAGCATTAAAAAAAAAACTCTTTGCAGTAAAGCTTCCCTTACGTCAAACGTGTGCATACTTTTTGTGCAAATTGTGAAAACATTTGTAGTCATTTGTAGTTCTACCAGGTGGCATCGCTTCAAAATGTCAAAACAGAACTAACAAAACATTTTTACACATTATTGCCATTGCATTTATGTCAAAAAGACCTGTCCGCCTAAGTGCAGACTCATGGCGGCACAAATAGAAGCATAGCGATCATTATACCAAATACTGGTAATTATAATGAACTAAATTAGCAGTTGTTTGAGAAAACAGTCACAAAAACCACATACGTATCGTCTGAACGATGCGCATCTGTAATATGTTGCCTCCGTACTTATTCGATGGCCAACAGTCTCGGTAAAAGCATTTAATTAAGTTTACCGTAAAATTCAGATGTCTGTTGTTTTTGAACAGCTGATTGCTGCCATGCACGGAGAGTTGCCAGACAACTGCTAGAGTTGCCGAGTACATTGTTTTGTTTGACTCGCACGATATGGGATGTTTTTTTGCTTTGAAATTATAAAAGTACAGCTTTGAAAAATCAATTATTTTATATCATAAAAGAAAAAAATAAAAACCAAATGTTTTGATATGATAAAATCAATAAAACTGCAAAATGAACTCTATTCGAATTGAATCTTGAAAGGTGTCAATCCCAGCCTTAGTTCGAATTTGGTTTGTGACAATGCTAAGAAAAATGAAATCGCTCGGAATTCTGTGGCACGGCGGAAACTTTGAAGCGGAAATCCTCTGCGCGGTTTTCCATTTCACTAGTGATTTCTGTGGCCCCCCTGTATATACATATGTACAGCATGAACTTCAGTATTTAATATATACAAATGGGCATATCCGCGGGAAGCGAACGTACGTTCGCGATCTCTTAATGCAAAAAAAAATATAGAAAACGACTCGTCAATATATTGTATGTCATATAAATAATAAGCTTACATATGTATATATTAAACGTGTACCGGGTATGAGAAGACTTCCAACGCTCAATACAAAAACAACACAAACGAAATTGACCGCAATCA